AGACAGCAGAGATAAGTGATCCAAGGGGATTCCCTAGTTAACACGTTGAAGACCGCGTAATTCATACGTTAACCGCAAACACATAAGAAATCAGGAAATGGCTTCATTTGATTTTTTGGCACAAGTGCGGTAGTCGTGCAATTCTCTCGATAGGTCACGTCACCACCCACCCGGAAGCGGTACATCACACTGGTAGAGGTGTCTAGTAAAGTTAGTGTGGTCCTTGAGTATCGTTTTACTCAACTTATTTTCCAAATCACAACATTTCAGTGGATGCTGTTGACCCAAACAAATTGTTCTACGGTTTCGTCGTAAGGAGGAACTCATGGAACACCTGATAAACAAGTAAGCCTTAGCATAACTCCAACGATCTCAGTGAGCTGCAAAAACCCAGTATGGGTGGATGACCTGACCGTAAAACTTGCAACGCTCCTCGTAAGTTCTCTGCATCTGTAGTTTTCTGGATACAGAAAAAATATTTGTATGAATACCAGTGGGATTATTCTTAAATCTTCGATTTTTGATAGAAATGGTGAAAGCTGCACAAATACGCGCAGTACGGTGCTCGGAAATGTGCTAATTGATACCAGTAGACCCATGTGCCCGTGAAAGTCATTGGTTAGTCAAAAAATCGAAGTAAAAAACTTAGGGAGGAGGAAGACAACGAGGAGGTAGCTCAGCTTTCGTTTTGCAAGTACCTTGAGCGGAAGCCGAGAAGAATCATAGTTGCAAGTGTGACGCCTTTACCAGCGTGCCGATACCTTCGGGTAAGGTAAAAATCACGTCGCCGATGGTGTCCCCTCGACCTTCGGGGCGGGGCAAAGAATTATTTTGACAATTATACCCTGTCACTTGGCGCATTTACTCTTGTACTTTGCCATAGAAAGGCTGACACTGCTCTCTCCCTCTATCGTATCCTTAAACCCACCGAACCACCGAAGTATTCGGTCTAAGCAGGTTTAATCAACCCTCATTCTGTACACCCACAAAAGTCTGGTGGTTGCGACATGGCTTCTCTGCTGCACAACATTCTACTGAGACTCACTGCTATCGAGTCAGCCTGCCAGACGATTTCAAAGCGCACGACTATAAAATCGAACTGCGTATTCTGTACGCTGGACGAGAACCGGGATTTGCACTACAGTGGTACTTGCAACCGGGCCCAGTATCTCGTACAGCTCAAGCTGCTAAACTGTAAATGCTTCTCAGATGGCTGAATACGGGGCAGGACAACTGCGAGGTGAAGTGTAGCGAGAAGCTACTTCAATCAGCAACAGTCTACACTTAGCCACGAGCAGTCTACATCCGTCCACGAGCAGTCTACACACCATCAACGAGCAGTCTACGCGCCGTGCAATGTTCATGACCGCCGAAATAGGCTCGCTATTGACAGTAATACATACTTTGCTCGTAATTCATTTGTTCGTTAATTCGTTTTGTCGCCCCGACCTTCGGGGCAGCGCAGAAAATTGTACTGTTAACAAGTATGCCCGCTGGTTAGCGCAGTTACCTCCCCAAACAACTCGAACTGTAAATGAAAAACCAATAAGAAATCGGAAACTGGAGAGGCTTCACAAATGATGTTCTAATCGAAGAAGGTAGAGCAGTTGTAGAACTTTTACATTAACGAAGCTTACTTGAACACTTGCACAGAAATCTTCTACGCTGAAGTCGGCATCTTCTCTGTGTTTTCTCACGAGGTTTAAATATGAGGACTTCAACTGAGAGAAATTCATATCAGCTCCTGACGTGCTTGGTCCAGCAACGCCATATCGTAAATGACCAATCTCAGAACACCTGAAAGATAGCAGACATGGGCAGGTTAGATTTGATAGCAGTTGTAGTAAGCACAGGTGCTACTGCAAATGAACGCTGGCACTCCGAGACCACGGTTAAAATTATCAGTGGGGTTCAGAGAACCCACTCCACTTAAGATTTTTGTAGCATCTCTGAAGTTTCGCGTTCGATCTACGCCAATCTTTGATTGACTACTACAAAAATGTCAAAGTAAGACATTACCGACTCGCCATTCGTTCCATGGCAGCGCCTGGATGAACCTCACGGAACTCTTGAATTTCGTTTAACTTCAATTCCCTTGCTATTTTATCCATACATTCGCCAGGACTTCCAGAAGCGCTTTGTCCTAAACATTTCAAATCGGTAAGATCAAGAAAATAAAGAATCTGTCACAAAAATGGAAGCGTGGAAGCAAAAGAAGAGGAACAACATGACGAAAAAAAAATGAATTCTCATAGCTAGTTAGTCGCTGGGCGAGTTCGCGACGAAAGGAGTGGAGGGCATTTCACACTTCTGCTACTACCATCGACGTGTCGACCCATCAACTGGAGACCTGTGAAATCTTGTGGAGCCACGAAATGACACCAGCCAAAGTATGTAGAGTCTACCAACTCTTGTAAAGCAACGAAATATTATAAAAATAACATTCACCATGGTGTGGCTTGACGAGCTTGCTCCAGCCCCACAAGTGTTCACAGGTTCACCACAGTGAGACTTGTAAAACTAGTGGACCAGCGAAAGTGCGGAATGCTTCCCCCCCCCCACGTCGCCAAACTGCGCCGTTTTTGTGACAGAGCTTGCAGTCATCAAAACTTACCATATAGAACGAAATCGTCAGCTGAACGAGAAAGCACGGTCAAAGCGTGACCACCAGAAATCAGCATTGATAGGAAAGGGAACCGCAGAGTTTCACAGATGAGAAAACCAGACAAGGCATGTGCACGCATGTGATGGATTGACACAAAATCCTTTTTATATTGCCTGAAAAATTACGGAATCGAGAAATGAACACAATTCAAAAAATGATTCACTACACCATCTTCTCAAAAAAAAAACACCACTAGCTTCAATTTTTCGAGCAATCATATAAGAAAACTTGCAGTTGCCTAGAAATTAAGTCTCTAATTGGAATCCCATTTCTCTCTTTGCACAACAGGCTGAATAGGCTCTTCCAAAATCACTGATATCACTAGCCCCGCCCCAATCTCCAAGCTAATGGAAGTTTGTTCTTATTTACGCGCTCATTCTGCTTAAGATCTGATCTTTTCGACCGCAAAGAGTAATTACAGTATCAGAAGTGTGAAGGCATATATCTTCCAAGAAATCTTTGAGGGCTAAGTTTGCTCATTACTGGGCACATTCTAATGTTGACCTGGCCTTCCTAATGCTACACTTGAGGCTGTTTATCACATTAACTACTAGGATAATGAATCAAACGTGACAGGTTTACGAGTTAATGATGGGTATGACTTGACCCCCGAAATGAGCACAGTGAGAACTTCACATCAGAAAGAGAGGTGAGTGGGTCGGACATTAAAGATACATCGTTCAAGATAGAGAATAATGATGAATTAGGATAGCTGGATGGAGCCGCGTCCGCACCGATGATATCTTCAATTGGACGGGACAGTTCTAAAAGAGATAGAGTGGGCCCGCGTGTTTACACAAAGAGCATTTTCCTTCCTAAATCGATCATCAACCTCACTAACTGATAATCATCGTTAAAGCAGAGCAGCCAGAGGCGGTCTCATTCTGATACCGCCCTGACTGAATGTGAAGTTATCAACTATAACCACTGGAGAAACGAAGAACAAGAGCATCCGCGAATGTGCGCCTAACGATTAGATGGGACCGATCGACTCCGGATTCTCTGGTGTCGTGGGCCTCGAGGCACAAAAGCTGTCAAACGGAAGTATGCCACTCGTACAGAACCTCTCATGAAAAAGCAGCCGTAGGCAACGTACAAAACACTGTGCCCTTTCGTTCTACAATATCAAGTGCAATATCGAAAGATTTCCACTGAGTAAATTTTCGTTGTAGTAAGTTAAGACGAACCTATTTTCAGTCCTTCATCTTGCTGATAAAATTGGGGCCGCGTGTTCTTCGTCAGGTCTATAATCACCATCTATCTTGCTTAGCACCGAAATTAAAATGTTACACACAAGAAGCTGAAAACGAGAAATGACAACCGACCGATTTCCTAACAATAAGGGAAGGAGGGTCTAGGATTAGGGTGGGCTCGGTGCAGGGCACATCGTACGTTGGGAGTCCCCAGCACAGGATGGTATATTTGGCCCTAAGAAAATTTTTCCCGTGCGCGAGCAAACTTTTCTATTTGTTGACTTCTCGCGGTTTCCCTGTTTCATATGTGCTTACACCTCATTCATATGCGCTTACACCTCATAGATAGGGTGGGAAATAGAGAAGTTTAAGAAAGTGATAGGCACAATGGGAAAAGATGGAATTCGGAAGGAGCCCTATTTTCTTTTCCTGAGCGACAGGAAGCGCCCTGGCTCGACAGCCTTGCTGTCGCTCATCAGTCTTTCTGCACCAATCCACTAGGCTCCCGGCTCACCTCAGTCCTGGATTCTCTTTCCCTTTCGGAACCGGTCAGCTGTTAATTACTCGTTTCTCACCTTAAATCTCATGTATGACAATTTGGTAATTTGGTACGAGCAAGATTGTGCACATTGTGCTCATATATCTGAAGATGAGCTTACCCCCGAGCGTGATCGGTGGAACTAAGGAGTTTTATCATCAAAAAAGCTACAAAAAATGAAATTGCATGGAAAAATGAAAGAAGCACTTGGGGAACAACCCTCAGTGAAAGCAACAAGCTTTAGCAAAATCCCACTGCTCCTTATTCAGCGTCTGCCCCGCTCTGTGACGGGTTCGCTCTTCTTATTTTGTGATGCCACTTAAACACCTGACCCGGATGCGCGCCAACTATCTTCAAGTTCGCATGCAACTTGTGTTTAACATAAATCGCGATCCAGTAGCGCGATCTCCAAGCATGAACGCAGTCTTAGGCCGCTTTCCAGGCACCTGGAGCTCTAGACTTGTCTTACGGACGGTGCCAAACGTGAGAATCTCACGTTTGGCACCGTCCGTAAGACAAGTCTCACTGAACCGTGAACCTGTTTGCTTCCTAACAAACTGGTCTACAACTAGTTATGCCCACAAGAAATCGTGTGACATTAAAGTCTCACCTTGAGAGTGCTAGTCCTAGTTGTATGCCTTCTTTGAGAGCAATGACCAACCCGGGTCTGGTTGTTACAGCGATCGCGTCGACATCCGAAACGCTCATTCCAGCTTCATCCAAACACTCATTCAAAAGACGTGGAAGATGCTCCTTATGCTAAATTTCACAAAAAGAATACCTCGTCTGACGTCCAAGAAACTTCCAAGTTAGCTCTGCACAAATGACAAGGTTCAACTCGAGCTGAGGGGACCGTACTGAGAGGCCACGCGGCGAGGAGCCTTCATCCCAGCCAATGCCCAGGGTTTTTTCCAACGCATTTTTGGCGAGGTTTTGCGTCGGGAGGAGGGGGGGGGCATCGCATTTTCTCTGCATCACTAGTTCCGTTTTCAAGTCTCGCTGGTAAAACCTGTGAACTCATGCGAAGCTAGAGCAAGCTTTTCGAGCCACCATGGTAAATGGCACTTGTATGGTACTCCGATATGCCCATTTTCTTCTCTTCAATT